AACTCCATTATATCATCATCATCACCAGCAACCTACCTCCTCTGTTTTCTCCCGTTCAAGTCCGATACAGAGATTTTCCAAATATTCGCATCGCCGTTGCCAATCCTGAAAATTTGAGCATTCGACTTCTACGGTAGAATATAGGCATCTTCTAGTGAAATATAAAAAATGTTTCACCCTAGTGATATGAGAAACACTAATGAAAAACATATTTCACGACTACTGCAGAGCGCGAATATCGCGTTATACACCGAGTTTTACGCCACTCCGCGTAAAACGGGTGAAACTCCAATATCTTTTTTTGTAATTTCATATCCAATATTTAATATTAAACATGTGCTTATGAAAATTCCGAAGAGAATCGCTCCACTTCAAACTCTCTACTATGTTCAATCAACAGTGTTCATCCATTCATACAAAATTCTTAGTATTGACTTCTGCGAAACCAGCGGCTCAACTTAGTCACTTCACCATACTGTGACCGTTAACCACAGCTTACCTTAAGAGCTGTCCTCAGATCACTTATGAGCTTTTCCTGCCTGTCCCTCTCCGTCTCCAGACGCTCCTGAGTACAGTCCCCATTGATACCATGGGATCCCACGTCCACCATACCTCCTCCGCATGCTGTGACACCAGCTCCCCTCCATCAAGGCAAACCACACTAGGCGCCTGACCAACACCATCATGCCATGCACGAATGAGAGCAGACATCACCTTTGACGACCCAACCACATCATGATAGCTCCCTGTGAACGACGTGGGCTCCTTCACAAAGTTCACTCTGCTGGCCTTAGACCGCATGGACTCTCGGGCAACAGGCTCATTCTCTTCTGCGCTACGCAGGGGAGAAGCTGTAGGAAATGCATTCGGCAGGCAGTGTGAGAAAATATGCACATGGTCAACCACATACGCAAATTCTGATGAAATTTTAGTAAATTCACATTGATTTCGCTACGTTTCTACCCTAGTTCGTATCTAAACTCCAACTGTGGGAGAGTAAAATGCTAAGCTCAGCTGGGAAAAGTGAATATATATTCCAACAATGCCAGCAGGTGTTTATCACATCCTGAATCTTCCACGACCGCCAGCCGTCTTGATGCCTCCACGAATACCGCATCAAGAGGATCAGGATGGACCGCCTTAGGCCTCGCTGTTGGCAGGTGAATCGAGACCTGAACCGCCACCACGCCTCGACAAGACACGTCACAATTGATGAAAATTTCATTAATAACTGTTATGTTGATTCTACCATAGTAGAAATGGTGAACAAATAAAGGCACAAGCGTTAACATGAGCAGATCTCATTAGAGTAGGATTCACGATATGACCTACTAACTCTGCCACTATCACCATGTTAAATTCTCTACCATTCCAAGCGTGTATTCCTCATCAGCGTGACCATGACTACCGTCGTTCCCTTATCCTTCGCTGACTCAACCTGTACGCTGCCCCCCGCTAGCTTGACTATCTCGTACACTACAGTGAGCCCAAGACCAAGACCGTAGTAGTTGTGGGGCTCCAGCCTGAGGACCATAATAACCGTGACCACCTCTTGCGCTTCCTACCTCACAAAAGGTAGGAATACTCTTGACTGGTCCGCCTCAGCAATTCCAATGCCCGTATCCTCTACTATGATAGTAATCTGAGGACGGAAATTCACCATCGACCTTCCATCAGATTCACCATCTCTCTAGTCGCTTTAGCGTCTATTCTAACATGGCCCTTGTTGGTGAACTTCAGCGCATTTTCAGCAACATGCTCGATAACCTGGGATAGCCCCCTTACTGCACGCCCAAGTCAAAATGCTCACTTTGAATAGTTTCAGCTCCTCCCCGGGAAATTCGGGTAGAGTAGAGGGACACTCGTTGAAGAAGTTGACCTCCCTTTTCTTCATAGGCTGATTTCGCTTATCCTGAAGGACCCGGCCTGCTCACTTCCGATGGACCTTTCCAATTCACCTTCGCCACGTCAAGCTGCTTATAGGCCTTCTCGACCAGTAAGGGGATCTTGACCTAAACCAATAAGGCATCCCACGTATAGATGAGGAGCTCCCGAGTACATACGGATTTAACCTCCATTCCAACAGGGGACTCCAGCATGAGGGCTGCGTCCCTCACAACGTCAATGACGTCTACCAGACTGACAAGGCGAGCACACTGGTATGAGGAGGCAGCAGCAACAGCGATAGCAGCAGCAGCAGCAGTAACAACAACAACAACAACAAGCAACAAGCAACAAGCAACAAGCAACAAGCAACAACAACAACAACAAGCGACAACAACAAGCAACAACAACAACAACAACAAGCAACAACAACAACAACAACAACAACAACAACAACAACAACAACAGCAGCAGCAGCAACAGCAGCAGCAACAACAACAGAGACAAAGACAAAGACAACAACAACAATAACAATAACGATAACAACAACGACGTGCACCCACCGAGCTCCACAACGATTGATCATGCTCAGCTGTTTCTGTAACGGTTTCTTCTCTTCAATGCGTGCCTGGTCTTAAACCCTTCCTCTCCCAGGACCGTGATACCCTTTCTCACCAGGTAGTCACTAGAGCCAATGACGCCCAAGAAGGGTATTCGCAACTCGTGTGCCAACAAGCCGACCATCCTCTTCATCAACAGTCGCTGTGACGGTCGTGGTTTGGTCAGATCAAGGTACAAGCCGAACCCCTCGGGGCCACGGTCGAAGCTGAAGGGCCATCTTAGCATGAAGAGACATAACAACAACGCACGTTTGTAGGGGCACTGGGGAGGTCATCTTAAAGGGGATCTTCACAGTGACGGTGGTGCCCTGGCCGCGACCAAGCGAATGGACTGCGATAGAACCACCCATTAGGTAAAGCGTCTGAAGGGGAATTCAATGAGAACAAAATGTTGAGGAGTGTGCAGATAGAGCACAGCCCTAGCACTACCTCTAGGACAACTGAGAGACCCAGGCCCAAGCAGCCGTCAGAGGGGTAAGCAAGTCGACAGAATGGCGTGAATATTCTGAGGTGTGGTATGGTACGATACTCTACTACCAGAGACCTACTCATCATGCCGTGAAGGATCAATTCCAATTCCTGTGTCGGCTACAACGATCGTCACGAATTCACCACCAGCCCGAGCAGACACCCTCACACTTCCCTGATGAGCATGAACAAGTTCCCGGCTCGCCCAGAAGGCCCCCCAAGCCCTACCGCCTCAGTGTAGCGAAGAGCATTATCAACTATGTGGTAGATCACTCTCGAGATTTTCATATCGTCTCCCTCGACAACGGGCCCCTGGCCACCCTCGGACCATTCAGGTGGACAGTCATGAATCTGCACTGATCTCAATGAGCTCGATAATAAGGGGAGCTACTACCAGTTCGACGCTCGCTTTCCGAACAGGTACACCGTTCTTGTCCTCAGCGTAGCGCATAAGCTCCACTGCCTCCAATATGACCAGTCCTATATCAACTTCTTGTTCTGATAGTGGTGAGTTGGACAAGGAGTGGTATGGCACCAACTTACGCTGCATGAACATCGTCCCGCGTGAAAGCTCGTCGATCTCCAGGGTCCTTTCTACCTGAAGAGCCGGCATGTAAAGAGCTATGGTGAGGAGCGGCGACCGACGTATTCAGCCAGGCGGGTGCCGGCGCGGTTTATCATCGTCAGGAGGCGCATCTTGCCCTCATCGCGGACCATCACCTTCATAGCTTCTGTTAGGCCCACAACGCCGTTGAAAGGCGTCTTCAAGTCATGGACCTACAACAGTATTATAAGTAGAGACGTTTATGCTCCCTTGTTATGCTGCGGGGAATGGTTATTGAAAACCATTATGTAGTATAATTCTCCAAAGTCAAAATTCGTTGAAGTCAATTTTTGCTGCTAGAGCATCCAAGAGTATTTCCAACACATTTAAGGAGGAAATGCTCGTAGACCTCCAGGAGGTAGTGCTGTAGTGTGCATGAGGAGCTAATCGGTCACTGTTTATTAGCAGTAAGCATGTAGAGGGTGTTTATTTCGGTATGCTGTGCAATCATTGTAGTAAAGGAGGTGGGTCCTATTACCAGTTGGCCACAGTCCTCCCTAATAAGCCAGACGGTGCCTCCTTGTTCAGTTATAAGGTCCGCATGGGGATCAATACTCATACACTGCTGTTCCGATCAGTTCTGATGATGGCTGGAAATTCCACCAAATAACAGTAAACTGTCATCAACTCCACTGTGCACTCTCTTCGACCTGCACAATTTGAAGTTGCGCGGTAAATCGATCATGATGGCGCGCGCTTTTGACACTAATGCAGTGTTGATGTGAGTGTTCTTTCTTCGAAGGGTGGTAGTTGTATTCTTTCATCTGTTCAGAAGGAAGGCTAATGAAGGCGTATTGCTGTGGATTTTTTTGAAATTTTATGGTAGTATATTTGTTTTCCCGAAAATGACGGTAAAAGACCTTCCAGAAGATTCCCCTAATGGACCAGTCGTGGA